GTCTCCTTTGATTAAATTCTGATTTTACATCTATCCTTGCAGGTATAAATCAAGTGTCATTCGTTTATTTTGATGTGCTTACAATCTATTTCACTTGCATTAAGGTCCCAAAGTACTTTATAGATCTAATTCCTCAACTGTTCATTTAATTTCTTACCCGATTCTCAACCGATTTCAACAATTCACACCTCAATATTTATAATGTCGTATAAGACATATATTATTACGTTGTGATAATGTCACTTCATCTCTCATGTCCCAAATATGTGAATTACCTATCTAGGGTTTAAGGTGACCTCGATTGGCCGAATGGAAAGCTTGAACCTTCGTTGATACAAATTTTCGGCCTTTCAAATATTACATTACTTACCAAGCCAATCTCCAACATTTAGTTAATCTAACTTTCTAAAGAGTCGAAGGTTATCATTCCTATCATAGATCAATATAAAATTCACCACCTAAATCGAAGAGTCGAAGGTTATCATCATGTAAAGATTTTAAAGCCTTGATGATCAAATGCATCATTTTAAGAGAAGGCAATCAGGAAATTGATACAAATGACAATGTAATTAGCATGAAATGCATGAATCATATTTGCCAAATGTAGAACGTGAAGTTTGGGGTATTACAATTAATGGGGGCACTTTAGGGTACAAAAGACTTTAGAGATGTTAGGGGAGCATTTCTATTGGCCTAAAATGAAAAGTCATGTAGAAAGGATTTGTAGTCGATGCATAACATGTAAAAGGGCTAAGTCTAGAGTTTTACCCCCAGGGACTTTATACGCCATTACCTTTACCTAGTGAACCATGGATTGACATTTCAATGGATTTTGTGTTGGGTTTATCTAGGACTAACAAAGGACGAGATTCAATTTTTGTGGTGGAAGATAGTTTTAGTAAGATAAAACACTTTATACTATGTTACAAAATCGACGATGACATACACATAGCGAATTTGTTCTTTAAGGAGATAGTACACTTACATGGGGTCCCTAAGAGCATAGTGTTGAATAGAGATGTCAAAATTTTAAGTCATTTTTGGAGAGTTTTGTGGGTGTAAATTAGGCACAAAATTGTTATTTTCCATAACTTGTCACCCCCAAACCTATAGACAAATCGAGGTAGTCAATAGGACTATGACTCAACTATTGCATATTATAATCAATAAGAACTTGAAAAGTTAGAAAGAGTGTTTACCATTTGTTGGATTTGCATATAATCAAACGGTTCATTCTACTACTTAATTTTCACCTTTTGAAATTATTTATAATTTTAATCCACTAACCCCATTGGATTTGATACATTTACCTGTGAATGAATGAAGTAGTTTAGATCGTAAGAGAAAGGCTAAACTGATAAAATCATTTCATGAAAATGTTAAGTTGCAAGACGAGAACAAGAACAAGCTTATTGCATCACAGGCGAACAAAGGCAGGAAAAGTGTCACATTCGAACCACGTGATTGGGTCTGGGTACATTACAGAAAAAAAAGCATTTTCCAGAGCAAAGGAGGTCAAAGTTGCAACCATGGGGAGACGGTCCATTTCAAGTCATTGAGAAGATCAACAATAATGCTTACAAGCTGGATCTCCTAGTGAGTACAATGTTTCAGTTACATTCAAGGTGTCTGATCTCTTTCTCTCTTTGATGCAGGTTCAGATTCGAAGACGAATCCTTTTGAAAGAGGGAATGATGTGATCCAAAAGCAGAGCCCAACGAAGGCAAGTCCAGGACGAGACCTGTTGATTATCGAAGGCAGTCCAATGACGTGATTAAGGGCAAAGTTGGTAAATCAAGTGATGGGGTTACTTGTTCGATCCATAATTGATTAAACATTGTTCGTGACGCAAAATGGGACAACTCTCATGTTGGGATCGAGAGCTGAATCAAGTTGGATTACAAGCAGCTGAAGTTGAAGACTATACAGAGAACCATGCGACCACACAGCTCTAACAACCATACGGGCCCATATTGGCATCCCGAGACAAGTTAGGGACATTTTGAGAGTTCTATGTGACCGCACAACAAAACACTATGGTTGAAACTATCAATTTTGATTGACAAATCTACAGTAACTTTTAAACTTAAAACAACTCTGAGACTTTAGCAGAAACTGGCAAACTGAATTTCTTTTGGTTTGCTACATAGTATGTTGGCTAAAGGGTTAATTTCTTGAAGGCTTTAATTCTTTAGCTATCAAAGTACATTAAGAAGATATACTTCAATAAGTCGTCTATCAATGTTGAGAATGACATATAATAGTGGTATAAAGATGATGCAAACCATGGCTGGTAACCCTTGTTTGACCGGCCTAGGGTTGGCACAACCATGTTCAAACAAGGGTTTCTCCAAATTTTCTTTATTTTCGATTTGATTTCTATTGGTGAAAGGAAAATAAACGAGCTATGTAGTGCAGCAACCAACCATGTAGATTTCTTGAACGTCTGGAAAGGCGTCCTACGGGTTTAGAAGGACAATTTCACCTATTTTTTTTTGTTGTTTTTATAGCTCAACCAGTTGACTCAAACTATAGGGGTCTTAAAATTGGGTATGTACTGTCTAGTCTTGCTTAGTCCTCGTACCAAAGATTCTTTTATGGCACGTCAACAACACTAGAGAGAATTGAGGAACAAAAAGAAATAGAAGTTTTGTTCAGAGTCGAGTACATTGTTGTTTAGTATTGTATATTAAACATGTCACTTGATTGAAAATCTAGACTACAGATATCTGTAACTATTTTTGCAATGAAATAAATTACCTTTAAGCAGGCTATACAACTTCTGAAACATCTAGGTTTGATAATATTCTTGAGAAGGAATTGAGTGTTGATGGGAGAATTCTGAGTTGAGGTGAAGAAAGCCCTTGCAGGAAGAATCAAAGGAGACCACAAACCATTCTGTTTGTAATCAAAATTGAATTCAGAAGCATTAAAATATGTGCCACAAAGTCTATCAGATAATGTTTTTGAAACCTGCTGAACAAGTGGAACTTTGTAGCGATACTAATGAAGATGATGACTCTTCAGACATGGCTTTAGCAGTGTACTCTGTTGACCTCAAAAAATGTATCTCCGGATGGTCAACTAATCCCGAAACCTTTCACGTCCAAGCAAGCAGTGAACCTGTACACTAGGACAAATCGTTAGCCACATGTGACCTTTTTCGGTGGGGGGTAGAGCCGACCGCGTGTACTCCGATGGTTAAGTCAATGGGAAGAGGTATATTAAGTGTGGGAGAGCTCTTAACGTGAGTCCCAATATAAAATAAAGGGGGTCGGTTTTAGGAAAGAGAGTGAATGTAGAGCAAAGTTATAAGGAATCAGAGTCTAAACTTGTATTAACTCTCAATGACACTAAATGTGACCTTTTATAGTACGGGATAGTGAGTGAGGACCGTCAGATGAGAAGACACGTGACTTCGTCCATATGGGCATAACCTCCCATCGTAGGAATCAATCGATCATAAGAGTTAAATAGTAATACCAACTTGCCTTTCAAAATTCATAGCTTGCGGCCATAGATTCAACCAAACAAGTTGGCTGTAGAGACGGTGTCGGGAGTAGTCAAATCAGTCGCGTGACTAGATTTGATTTAGAGGATCTTCTGTTAATCAATCTCTTTTAGCGTCGCTCCTCCAGTTGGAGCTCCTGCGTGATGGTTTAGCCTTAAGGGTTCGACTGTTATGAGGTCGGACAGAATATGGGTTCGATCATAAGAAGCCCGTCCATAGGAGTTCGGCTACAAGAATATTCCACACGGTCACCTTCGTGGGTCCGCCTGCCACATGGCATGAGTTCGAGTCTTGTTGGAAAAGGTATAACAATAGTCCCTGAGTCCATGTGTGGATATTTATATAGTGCATGGACTTGAAGGTTGGGAGAAAAGAAAGAAAAAAAGAAAAGAGCATCTGTATAACATACTCCATTGTGTATGGTAAATACATGTGAGAAAGTGAGATGCAAAAGAAGCCTAAGTTGAATGTGTATATATACTCCTTGTGGATTAAAATTTTAGTTTGTATGCTCGCAAATGGTCTTTAGGCTGATTTGGGCAATGGTATTCTAAAAAATAATAATGAATACCTCCTTCAAACATGACTAGTCAACTAAAGAATTGTGCTACATAAACAGGCTAAAAAAGGTTCAAAAACATGGTGCACACATGTCAACATATAATTGGACTGTTTGAAAAATAAAAACAATAAATACCCAATCATCTGTTGCCAAGTCAGTCAATTTTTTTCCCTATTTTTGAGCCTGAATAAACATCATATTCTGCAAATAAGCCCTTGTTTGAGCCCCATTTTTTAGGAAGAATGAATTTTTAAATAATGTATTGATGAGAAATGTGTGATTAAAAAATAAGAAAAAATTTTAAATTTGCGTGTAATATTATTTTATTGAAAAATATGTGATTGAAATAATATCAAAATATTGTTGAAAAATGTATTTTTCCAAACGAATGAAACTCAAACAAGGGCTACAAATACATGACCAGACACGGATTTTTTTTCAAGAAAAAACATGTATGCTCATAAAAGATACCTCAAATTGAACATTTTACGTCCATAGGCATCATACTCGTACCATCAGTCAAATCCATGTCGCCATTTGTTTCGGAGCCAACAATAACGACATTTTTCGTGAAATTTTTTTATAGGGAATGAAACTTAAATTCAAGATGGTCGCTGTGGTGACGTATTGAACTAAATCGCATAAATGTAGAGAGTAAAATCTAAGGCTTACACGTGTTCAAGATTCTGCAACTAAAATCAAAGATTGTCCCAACGGATACTTCCAAACAGCAAAAATTAAATTACCAGCTAGACCAACAAAAAAATCATTGCGATTGCAACAACCAGACCATGAAACTATTGTTCTCCAGAAAATTGATTTATTACTGCCCAGTTGTGTTTATGCCTGTAAATAGAGTTGATAGATTTATTTTTTCAAAATCTAGGAAAATTTTGAATAAAATAATTTCAGTAATCCACAAAAATAGAATGAAAAAAATTGGATGGAATTAAACAGTGTTAAAAAATGAAAATTAATTCAAATATCACGATAACGTCCACTACCGTGCAACATGCACCAAGTATCCAACATCCCAAAACTGCATTATATTCGAATGAATTATCCAACGACTCTTTTACGTTCCTGGATTTGTCCACTTGAACCTCTCACCTTAAAAAACATTAAATATTCTAACCATTTCCCAGAATACAAGAGGCTTAGAAACCAAAGAAGCCAAGCTCACTAGCCTTTTCCTTCTCAAATGTTTCAAAATACTGGTATATGATAGTGACAGCCAGTAGAATTCCAGTCCCTGAACCAATTGCCCCCATAAGATCAGCCAAAACTGTCAGTGCACCAATACACATACCACCAAAGGCTGCCGCAGTGGGTATATAGCGGTTCAGCTCCTTCTGTAGATTTGATTCCCTATGTCCGGGCATCACCATTTGTTGTTCCTGAAATATTATAGGAAGATATATTAGTTGAGACGATTACTATATTTTGTTTAAGTAATACCTCCATTTCTTTTCCCATGATAAAGGTCAATGCATGCCTAATACATTCTCATAGACCTTTACGCGTTAACACATATTAATATTACCAGATATTAAAACTCAAGTTTATCAACCCATCAGTTTTAAAAATTCGGTGCCATTCCGAACATTCATCTGAATAGAACCACCCTTGCTCGATTTTAGTCATATAATCTAGAAGAGTGAAAGGTAACAGTCGCAAGATACTATTCTCAACCTAGTCAATGCAGACAACTATGTCATAACCGACTCGTGCACATAAAAATAGAAAGGTAATGAAGTTTGTGATCCCACATAACACGTACACTGTTGTTGTTTTCCCAATTCATAGAAATCTTAAACTCATACAGTGCTGGCAAAATAATAGGAACATGAACATAGGATACAAGAATGATATATCATTGATCATCAACATAAAATTTAAATATATTTGCTTTCTTGTAACAATAAATTACTTCAGGGAGCATCAATTTCCTTAAAGATTTTAGGGATAGATAATCAAGCAGGAATTCTTCTACTCTTATTTCTGAAAATTCATGGACTGCCAAGAATACTAGAACAATTATGCACCTGTTTTCTTTAAAAATCTATTTTTTAGTAGATTTTGGTAAAAGTTGATGAAATATAACGTTAAAACTGAGTTTTAGAAAATGGGGCCCAAACAGGGGCTAAATGTACAACTTTTAAATTATACATGAATTATACCTTCAGTTGTTTAGCCACATCTCTAGCTGAGGATCCTGAAACCTCGATCCACGTTTTAGAGAACAAGGCACATGCAGACAGCATAAACACAATATAGAACAGTCCATGGAAAGGATGGGCCACTATATCTGACAAGCTGCAAAATAGCAGTAAGCAAAATGAAGAGTGCAGAAAAGGCAAGCAGGGGAACAAAGCAAGGGGAGATTCTTGATTACCTTGAAGGTGCAGTGATGTAATAAGCAAGACCGCCAACAGGCACAGATTGGCCAGAATATTCAGATTCCTTCCACTTCCCCAAAAGGTTAACAATGAAATTCCCACTGTATTTCCTGTACAGCAACTGTAAGAGTACACACGAAATCAGGGTGTCAATATTGAAAAGCAGAAAGCATTTAATTTGTTCGTATAAACAAAGGCCAGTCAGTACCTGGGAAATAAAGTAGAGATTTGATACAAGTGCAGACTGTAAAATAATAGGCATATTGGAAGTGTAGAACAACTTAATTGGATATGAACCCTGTTGCCCACGGGCATTCTTCGACCTCACAGGCAAAACCACACGAAATCCTTGGAAGTAGATAACGATAAGGAAAATTAACACGGTCGCGAGCAAGTTTGTAACATTTGGAAGATTCTGCCGGTAGAATGCCTCTCGAAGAGCACGAACCTTGTCTGTTCGAGTAATTAACAAATGGAATAAAGCAATAACAGCACCTTCAAATTCAGCTCCACGTCCGCTGTTCACTGTAGTTGGACTAAATGCTTTCCAGATAATACTTTCACTGACAACCCAAAGTACTCTTGAGAAATCAACATCTTGCAGCTTATACAAAACCAGTGAATGAAGAACAGACCAAATTCTTAAACGCTTACCAAATATTGGTCGCTATGAAAAGTGAAATTCCAGAGCCTAAGCCATATCCTTTCTGGAGAAGTTCATCCAGGCAGATTACAATTATACCAGCAAAGCAGAGTTGGAGAATTATAAGGACTGCATTTCCAACTCCAAGTTGGCCAACACTGCCATACATTCCTGAAAGAACATATGCAACTGCCTCACCAACTGCGATCAAGATACCTAATAACTTCTGTGCACCATTTCTGGAATACAAAAACAAGATCCCCGTTTAACACAGTGAAGGCAACTAGATATTTACACGAAATATGAAAATAAAGATTTATTTTGTTTCATGAAATACTGAATATATCCAAGCACAACAATGTTAAATGGAATCATTTTAGGGGGTAAATGGAGCCCAGTAACTCCAGATAAGAAAGTATCAAAAGTATGCATTTTAGGTGGCACTTAAAAAGTTTAATTGCAGGAAATTTTAAAGCTCTTCTGATTCATGTATCTCAAGAACAGAAGATTTAAAAGTCAGAAATAAATTTCCTAAGCATTTTATTATTACTTACAGCAGGGCTCGATCCTCCCGTACATTGTTATCAACTTCAATGATCTTCGAACCCGCTAAAAGTTGCATGACCAGTCCAGATGTCACTATGGGTGTGATTCCAAGCTCCATAACAGTTCCTCGGTTTGAGGCAAGAATGACACGCATCCAATAGAAAGGATCTGCACCTGTTGTGGAGTGTATGCCATACAATGGCAGCTGACTGCAAACCAGGAAAATGAAAAGGGAGATTACAGTGTATATAACCTTCTCTCTGAATGGAATTTTCCTGTCAGCACTCTGAACCTCAGGCAAAAATGAGAGAAAAGGTCGAACCAGATGGAGCACTCTAAACCCACCTCCCATCTTGCTGACAAAACTAAACTACTTGAACTGCAAAACACATTGAAAAGCAAAATGTATTATCAGAATTCCTCAAGAAACCTTGTAATCCTCACAGAAGTTTGATGGAACAAGTTTTGACACAAATAATGAAATATCGCACTAGCTCTTGCTAACTGGTTAAGATGGTAAACACTTGTAAAAAAATGAACTTAATTAAGTTTATGCATGTTTTTGGTGTTCAGTTGTGATCTCAACCAATGACACACACAAGGGACTAAGGGAACTTTCAAGTTCGTTCCCATACTTTCCCAGGATACAAACCATTTCACATTCAAGTTCACGACACTAACTTGAGGGGTCCAAAACATAAGTTTCTTCTACAGAAATGAAGGTTGAAATGTATGCTTCATCATGCCATCAAGAATTTACAAGTTACCCTTAATCAGACCGTGAGACAATGGCTCCAAACACTTTGTAGTTATCGAATAAAAAGGGCCGTAGTATGACATGGGCTCTCAGTACTTAACATTCATCTTCTTGATTAACCAAAAAATTAATACAAACTATTAAATTATCAGCAAAAGATAAAATAAAAAAAATTGTACCAGCACATGAATCAAAATAAAATAATTTCCCGAGTCTGTAATTACTCATGCATGTGTGGAAAACACACCATCTGAGATTAAATTGCAAATCGCATGATAATAAACGATTTAAAATCAACCAAAAACAACTTATCGATGTTCACGAAATGATAGATCTGAGATTTAAAACATCAACATAAAAACTAAAAATAAGATCTCCGTCTTATATTCCACTTTTTCAAAATTTTAATCTGAGCTAGGCATAGAATAAATCAGTCAACAAAAACATCAACATAATTCAGGGAAACAAAAAGTTAAATAAATCTAACACGAAAAACGAAAATCAAAACTAAATAACAGATATATAAACATTTAAATCTGTTAAAATAAAAAACAAAAAAAGGGTAAATTGAACGTACGTCAGATTCGAGGTGTGCGGAAAAATGGAATCCCAGAACAACGATTTTTTACGCGAATGAGATGTTATTTACTTCGATGAATTTTAGTTGGTACCTATTTGCATCTGGCATATGAAAACAAAAAAACAAAAAAAAGGGTAAATTGATAAAAACCAAAACAGATATAAAAACATTTAAATCTGTTAAAATAAAAAACAAAAAAAGGGTAAATTGAACGTACGTCAGATTCGAGGTGTGCGGAAAAATGGAATCCCAGAACAACGATTTCTCACGCGAATGAGATGTTATTTGCTTCGATGAATTTTAGTTGGTACCTATTTGCATCTGGCATATGAAAACAAAAAAACAAAAATCGGTAACTTGCGGGTTCATTGACATGGCAAAACCAATGTTTAGAAGACACGTGTACAAATAGTCATACTTGGGGGGAGTATAATTGAGATAAATGTTTAAGAGGGTGTTTATTTTCTTATAAAAATGTATTTTAGAATAGTAAATTGATGAAAAATGTGTTCTTAAAAAATAAGGAAAAATTTTTGATTTACGTATAATATTATTTTAATAAAGAATGTGTGATTAAAAAAAAAAAAAGAGAAAAATACATTTTTAAAAAAATGGGTATCAAACGGAGCCTAAAACTCGTACCTTTACTCACTATCAGTGAGCCCTTGTCTGAGCAACGTTATTTTGGAAAAATGTATTTTTAAATAATGTATAGATGAAAATTTTATGGTTAAAAAATAAGAAAAAAATTTGAATTTACATATAATATTATTTTATTAAAAATGTGTGGCTGAAATAATTTAAATCACTATTTAAGAATGCATTTTTTCAAATAATGTGTATCAAACAATGTCTAAGACCCTGTTTAATCCCTATTTTTAGAGTAAAATGTATTGTAGAATAGTGATTTTTTTTAGAATGTGTGGTTAAAAAATTAAAGAAATTTTTTTGAAATACGTGTATAATTATTTTATGGAAGAACATGTGGTTCAAAATGAGATTTGAAAAAATTTATTTTTGAAAAAATAGGGCTCAAACGGTGGCTTAATTTTAAAATATTGAACTTTAACACATTATACCCCAACACTCACTCATCATATTTCATTAATCGTTGAATTTTAAAATATTTTCTAGTGATCATTGAAATTTAACATGTTGCATTCTATCACTCGTTCATCATTTTTCGTTAGTCACAGAATTTATAATACCATCATATTTTACTCATTGAATTCTAAATTATTTTTGAGTATTCACTGAAATTTACTTGCTAAATCCAATCGTTCAAAATTTGAAATTTTTTGAAGTATAAACTATAAAATACTATAAATGAAGGTGACACCCTTATTTCATCTTGAATTATCTCTTGAAAATTTTAAAAATTATATTTTATTAGTCTTGATTAATGTTATTGACTTTAAACCAAAAATTTCACTACCAGTTTGAGATACACATTTCTATTATCTTGATTTGCGTCTACGATCTCAATTGAAATGAAATAATTTCTCTATTTTATTTTCCCAACATAAAAGATGATTATTATATAAATCAAGATTTATATCAATTTGATGATCTCATTCTTTTCCTCCCTTGAACAAAACTCTTGACCGTTGGAGAAATTATATATTCTTGATTAATATCAATATTCTTGTCTTAAATTGATAGTTTACGATTTTATTTTATTTTATTTTTAATTTTCTTGTTTTTATATTGAATCTCATAGAATATTAACTTTACGTGAAAATATTATGAAGTTCGATGATCACTTGAAAATATTTTAGAATTCAGTGAGTAAAACGTGATAGATGTACAAGTTTAGTTAGTGATGAAATATAGTGAGTAGGTGGTGAGTGCAACATGTTAAAAATTCAGTAATCAATCAAAAGTGTTTTAAAGTTCAGTAATTTATAAAGTATTATGAGTGAGTGATGAAGTGCAACGTGTTAAAATTTTAATTCAGTTACCACTTGAAGGTTTTAAAGTTTAATGAGTAAAGCATGACAAATGTATAATTTCAATGGCTAGTGAAATATTTAACGCAGGAGTAATTGGTAAAAGGGAAAATTTCATAAGTAAGAGATTAAGCATAACATATTTCAAAATTAAGTAAACCATATTCAAATTTCAAAAATTAGATTTTTATTAAAATTTATTTATCATTAAATTAATTAAATATTTTTTTATTAATTAAATATATTTAGGTCACAAATTAACAATTTAATCAGTCACTTATTATTTTTTTAATCACAAATCAAAAAATTTATGTCACAAATTATTTTAGGATCACAATTCAAAAATTTTATAAGTCACAATTTGTTCATTGATCACAAATAAAAAAATTAATTAGTCACAAATTAATATTTAGTCACAGCTTATCAAATTATTGGCCACAACTTATTTTTCATCACAAATCAAAAAATTTATAGGTCACATATTATTTTTCAATTACGAATAAAAAAATTTGTAGGTCACAGATCACAAAATAATAGATCACAACTTATTAGATAGTCACAAATTATTAATTTTTTAAGTCACACATTATTTCTTGATTACAATTTATTTTTTTCATTAGTCACATATTGTTTATTGGTCATAGATTAATCGATTTAATAATCATAATCAATCAAATAATCTGTGACCACCACCAACGACAACCACTGCCTCCAATAACACCACCGCCACTATAGCCGCCAGAACCACCACCATCACCCGAGAGCAACACTGAAAAAAAAAACCACCAAATAGCGTTACCCATGCTATCCCACACACAAACCAACATCACCACCGCCGACCACAGCAAATCGCTACCAATACTTGCAGCAACTACTATAGAATCTCAAATAATTTTAAACATTTTAGTGGCACTAAGATATGAATATTGGATGACTAAAGTATACTTCAGATTTTTAGTTTCATTTGAAATCTATTTACGACATAGAATACATTCGATTTGAAAAATGATATCTAAAGAAAAGTTGTAGTTTTTTGAGTTATCTTTCCAACGCACTTTGAATTACATCAATCGGATATCGGGAGAAGAAGTTATGATAGAAATACCAAAGGCTGTACAGTATTAACCGAAGTACGCGGAATATGAAAAGTCAAATTCCTACACGATTTTCTAACATCTTTTTAAACCTATAACTCCACATAAATGGCACCCGTATTAATGAGTATTAGGCCCTTCACTTGCCCTTAAGTTGTGAGATTTTCACCTATAAATAGGCCCCAATGCATACACATTTTTCACACCAAGACAAAAGCTTATAAGCATAAAAGAGAGAGTTTTCAAGTCTAGAAAAAAGAAAAAGGAGAGGGAGGAAAATTAGTTTTTCTAGAAGTTTTGGTGCTATCAAAAAATATTTTTCCAAACATCAATTCTCAACGGAATCTTTTTTTTTTAAACATCAAAGGAGTGCATTTTTTCAACAAGGTTCAAAGCATCAATCAAGGTAGGTAGAAGTACAAAGTGTTAATTCGTGTTAAGTTATAAGTTTCTAACAAATGAAGATTTATGTTAATATTTGCATGTCAAATGGTACCTCCGGTACGGCATACACCTCCTTGTCTAATGGTACCTTCGGGTACGGCATGTACTTCCGGTCGAGGCGTCGTGCTAAGTCATGACTCTACGTGTTTGGGATTCTACCGAAAATCCTACTATGAAAATGTTTCTAAAGTTACAGCTTTGAAATGTATAACTTGATCACGAATGCACCAATGATATCTATTGAGTTTTTTTAACTCACGGGTTTAACCCCTTCTCTACAGATTGATATGATTCTACCTTGGGCTTAGATGATGGAAAAGATGGAGAGCGGTGTAACGAGCCCATAGAAAAACCCGGTGAACCAGTTATTTAGATTTATTTTTGTGAATGTTTTCAATGTTATTTCTTTAAAGTATTTGAATAACGTTGAAAGCGAGAACAAATTGTGTTTTCTTCAAATAAATTACTTTCTGTTATTTTTTATTCAATATTTTATTTAAAGTATTAGAAAGATTGTTGTTAAAATTATCATTTTAAAAATTAAGCTTCCGCTAAAACATATTCTCCTGTGACTAAAGCACCGGTTAGTTAAGTAAATTAAGTAGCGTTCCGGTCCACAAGGGGTCAGGACGTTACAACCACTGCCTCTAACAGTACCACCGTCACTGTCGTCGCCAAAACCACCACCACAGATCCACCATCATCATCACAGATCCATCGAATCGCAACCCACCGCAGATCCACCATCATCACCATAACTTAACACCGTACCGCAACTGTCATCAACCACCGTATCTCGCCAGATCCACCACCGCAGCCCACCGTCAAATACCACTTATCACTAGAGCCATCATCCAACAACCATTAGAAAAAAAATCATTGCAACTGCCATCAACCACCACACCAGCCTGTCGACTCACGCTCTGGCGAAGCTCGGATGTGTCACGAGATCAACACGATGATGACGGTCTGCTTTATCTAGCCGATGATGCCGTGAAAGGTTGTTGTTTGAGGGAGGAAAGAAGGTGAAGAGATGGAGAACATTGGCGGCTGGGGAGAGAAGACGATGAGGGAAAGAAAATGGTAGGATTTGGACGGCTGAGGAGAGAAGACAATGATTCCCATCTCATTTCAGAATTAATGATTTTAATAGGAAGGTTTTGTGTAATTACCACTTCTTAAAATTTGACAAATATAGGGGTTGAATCTAACATTGGCCCATTAGTGGATTTTTCCTGCATCGTTTCTCGGATTCGGCCTAAAAGGTCTGAATTTGATTTTAACTTTGTGTTTCGCAACATAAATGACAAGGATTTTTTCTTAAATTTCATACTAGTCCTCGAACTACGGAAAATTTATAAATTAAGTGCTAGAGAATTTCATGTACGATTCATGGGTAAAAACAGAAATTGGGAGTCCTGTCCTATGACGTCAATGGTGCGTAGCTTTATGCTTAGTTTTTCATTATGGTTTTAGTACATAGATCTAGAGATGTTGACAAGTCGGCTTGCAATCCGAAATTCTAGGCTCAGATAAAATGTACGAGCCTTTTTCAGGCTTGAGCTGGACTGAGCAAAAGCACGACAAAAAAAATTAAGCTCGACCTGAGCTTTCGGCTCGGGCCTTTTCGAGCCAAGCCGGGCCGGCTCGAGCTTTGCCCGACACCTAAAAATGGGGTTCAACCCGAGCTGAGCCACGGGCGGCTTAAGTCGACGAGTCCAATTGCCATCCCCGACAGATCCCATTCAACCGTTTTGCATAAAACTGCTTTTTGAATTTAAGCCTTTTACGTTGTTTGAATATGCTAGTTCATCCACCCTTTGGTGCCTTGACGGGACACTCCCTTCCACGGAAGGGAACCTAGAAAGTTTGTTCAATCAAGTCGCCTTATTATTGTTCTAAAAATACAAAAATATTATAATTTTATTGCAATATTTAACACAGTTATTTTAGAAATTACCTTATAGCTTCCTTGAAAAAAAAAAAATTTCTCTTCACGTTGATCTTCTTGATTTCACATCCAAATCCTTTGACCTTCTCTAATGGTTTTCAAGACTCAAAAGTAGAGCTTTTACGCGTGTGGACACGACAAAAATTAACCTTAATTAAATTTTATTATAAGTGCCATATTATAAATATGGACATAATAAAACAATTTTTCCCTTTTAATTTGGATAAGGAAACTTTCATTAAGCTAAAAGAACTCTTCCTTTTAATTATAATCCAAATTAAACTCTTTCCATGTGTTTCCCATAAGCTAAAAGAATTGATATTAACCCTCGTTTAGCCCCATTTAATTAAATTTCATTTTTCTCTCCTTTTTTAATTATATAATCTTTCATAAAATAATATTATATGTAAACCGAGAACTTTTCCTTCTTTTTCAACCACTAATATAATAATAATAATATTCCACCCATTTTAATTTGGAAAAATGGGGGCAAACGGGTGCTTAATTTTCCATAGAATTGTACAGAACAATCTCTAAACATAGTCAACTTTAACCAACCATACAGAAGGCTACTACCAAAAACAATTGAAATTGTATTCAATCCGAAATCGTAATTACACTATTAAAGGAGGCTCTTACACAAAGAACTGGGCAATTTAGCGAAGATGCAGCAGACTCTTTAAACCTTCTTGAAAAATGAAAGGATGTTCCCTTGTTTAGTATCCTTATTCCCCGCTTTCTTGTTTCCTGCTTTGCTTGCAGGCACGCTGTTTCCGACTGCAGATGACTTCCTAGCCACCGGTGGCCTAAAATCATTGTCAACATTCACAAAATACAAACCGTCATGTACAATTCAAACTTCCAAGAAAACTACATCCGTTAGCAGGAACAAACCACCTGACATACCATGAATGAAAATTGGGATACCCGTCAACTACTAGTATGGGAGATCTAACAATTATTAATCAAGCAACTGAGTTGGTTAATGCGAATAGAGCACCTGACAGAATCAATAAAATTAACCATATCCCCTACCAGAAATCTAATATGAATCAAAATATGAGACCAAGTTGTCAGCTGACATATCTGGTAGTCAGATTTTTATTCCAATTTCCAACCAAAATAACTGATACAAAGATTTCTCCCAGAATAAAGTTACTAATTTCTAGATGCTTCCTAAATGTGGTCTATAATAACAAAATCATAAAGTTGACCCATTTTGAAATTGTTTAGTAGACATTTATTGCAGCCATAAATCATCAGGCTCCAAAGTGTCTGTCATGAAACATCAACAATCATATTGTGCACACTATATCTGGGATTCTGGTGTGTGGACGGAAATTTGAGGCTAATCTTCCCCCAGATAAAATTAAAAAAAGAAAAAACTAATATCATCACAATAGATAAAACACTTCCCTCCCTCTGAGTTCTGTAGGCTATGATGCACCGACACGGACACGTGTGTCCGATACGATACGTGTTAGATACGTCGACTCGTGATTTTTCAAAAAAGTACCGACTCGACACATCACCAACACGTTCATTAAATTCTTTAAAATTCTTCATTTATATAGTTGAAATTTAATTTTATACCTATTATTGATTTTCTTATTGAAATCTTTTAAATATGAGTGTTTATTTGTTATTTACTAATAACTTTTAGTTAAAAATATGTAATAACTATAGTAAGAAAGAAAAATGATTATTGTAGTGTTCGAAAAGTGTCGATATCGACACGTGTCCCTAATTAGAGTGTCCGTGCTTCAGAGTCTGTAGGTGTGTAGCTGACGGCTGTGCATAACAATAACTTGTACCATATTTCTTCAATCATTTCTGAGGTTAGAGAACCATCCGTAATAGTTCAGTCATCTAATGATGTTACTAGATCCAAGATGTGTCCACATGACTATCTCATTATCTCTATACACTGCTTTTTTTTACCTTGCACCTATGTATGACGAACTGAAGAATTGTAGACATGAATGGATTTATTAACAGCCATTATAATCAACATTAAACTCAAATACATACTGAACCCAATGCAGTCATGAAAAGAAAATGGTTTAAGCGCAAAAGTATTTACCTGTTAACAGCACTGTTCACTGTATTGTTCCCAGCTATCTTCGCTGTATTACTATCATGTTTCGTCTCTGGCTCCTCACCCTCCCAGACAACCTCGGTGACTGGAGCCACAAATATAAATCAATTGAACTAATCAATACAAAAGAAAATATTAACAAAGAAACTACATTACTTTTTCAATACAGTATCTCTGAGGAAATTATAACAATACCTTCTCTTCCACGCATATCAATCCGAGTCTTTAAAACTTTTCTTCTTTTGGGTCCAGAATCCACCACATTATCCTTCACATCAACATCAGTTGCAGGAACGCGGTTTAGGATATTATCTGATGAAGGAACAGCGGAGTCCATGCCTTTGCTCACATCTGATGTTTCTCTTCTCAAAGGATGGTTAATTGTTTTGTCAGCTTCTTTCACTTCCTTGACGTTCGATTCCTTCTCTTCATTAAAGCTCAGGTTGCTCCCAAGGCCTGAAGTATTCAAACTCTGTTTTGAACCTAGAGTAGTCTTTTTTGGAGGATCAGGAGATTCTAGACTGACAGCATCTTTCAATTCATCTTCTTCGTCGGAGTAATCAAACACAACCCTCCTTTTTCTATTTCCTTCACCATTTGACGTTCTTTTTATGTTGAAATCTTGTCTATCTTCGTCGCTGCTCCCATATTCTACAGCTTCACGAGCACAGATTTGAGCCTCTGCAGTAGCTGATTATGGATTGACCAATAAATATCAGTTAAAAAAACCAACATGTCTGGTTTAGCATGTTTGAAATAATAAATAGAAATTCAATCTTCTCCACTTCAAAGTAGACAAGGAAAAAGAATTAACCAGCAGAGTTTGTTGCGGCATTTTTGCATTGTGCAGAGGCACCATCAGGTTTTAATTTTGCAGATGCATTACCCCACATATTAGCTAATGCACCTCCAGTTCCAGAATTTTTTTTATCACTCTGGGTTTTTTTCTTGTTTGGAACCAATTGAGGAACTTTTTCTTTATCTGCAGCAGGCTTTGCACGCTTTTCATTATCGACTCTTACATAACACTCACTTTTGACATCTTTAACCATACCAGGACTTGTGATAGAACTTGACTGCTGAACCACTTGCTGTTGAGGATGTAATAATGCAATTTCAAGTGCGGAGTTATTTTTAGATGTCCCTGAAACTTCTGAGCTCTTCGCCTGTGGCCCAGGAGCACCCAACAGTTTTCCACCAGCATTTCGCTTGACAAAAGAATTTGAAACTCCACAAAACCTTTGAAAAACAGTGCAGCGATATTAAAGTAGATAAGAGATATTAATTAGTTGTTATTATATATATACATAACTTATTGTTACCATTTCAGGTATTGTGAAAGAGAGCAAATCTATGAATATTTACATAATGTATAATTCAATATAGAAATGTAAAGCACGTCATATACAGAAACATTGACATATAAGTATTCAGGACATGGAAGCAAAGTGCTTTTGTACCTATTATCTCTCAAACAATTATCAACTGTGAGCGGCTGCCTAGAGAGGTCTTCAGCTTGGACAAACTCAGCATTCCAAAGCACTGCAGGATCCTTGGGAATGCAGGCTTGCACACTGTAGACCTGAACCGAGCAACTTACATCAAATTCTTGTTTGGCTTCTGTACATGAATCAAGTAAAATAGATTTTTCAGTTTTGGTTAGGAATCAGAAGTGTCATCAAGTAGAAACAGAGCACCAAAACCCAAAACAGGTGTTTCTCACAAAGCAGAAGTATTTCCTTTTCTCAAATGAATCATCTAAAACTACGCAAAATATAAGCAAGTTTATCATGACCATCTTCTTAAATGCTAATAGAATGGCATGACAATTTATAACCAATGTTATGCTTTCAAAAGCTAATAGCTACTAAAATCTATTATTCCACAACCAAGCTTTGATATCCAGTGATCAAAGTTGCTCATGAGGATCCTATGTACAGCTGAAAAATTACAAGGGTAACCACACAGGATGATTCTATTTTCTTCGGGGTAAGTTAGCAGAAAGAAAACGTTGTTCTCCTAGGGTTATAAAAAAGAGGCCGAATCATCATCCAGATGTCTTTCTTGCTTTCCCACTTTAAGATAAGTGTTTCACGAGATCCATCCAATTCATAATGAATCAGTAGAAAATGTCAGTCATACACGAACCAAATCAAGCAAGGACGATGAGAACATTAGTACCACGTTCCTGACCCCACTAGTTTACTTAGGCTGCATTGAACTATCCACCACATTTCATTGGACATCACAAGTAATTAGATCATTTTTTATTTTTTATTTAACTTGAAGCTTGATTTTCGGAATCGGTGTGTTGTTGACTTACAACGACGAAGATGAATTGACAAAATTGAATATTTAAACATTTGACAAGATACAAACTAAGTTGATTGGCAACAGAGTTACTTTGCCCTGAAACTAAGCTCAAAAGAAGAGAACTTTATCTTTGTTCGATAATACAACTATGTTCAGCTTCCAGAACATGGTATCACTCAGCGGTGAGAAAGGAAATAATGGAAAGATGATCGATTACTGCCATAGATGCCGAAAAAGAAAAACTGAAATGGAAATTTAATCTGTAGAATGAGCTATACAGAACTTGACCAATTTAATGAAGATTTTGATGGCCATTGAACTAACTAACTAAAGTAGACTACAAAGACGTTTTGTTCGGGTATGGGCACGCATATCTTTGGTATAAATTGAACCTTCGATGACCATTGAAGCGTTACATAAATATCATATCCTATAATTTAGAATAAAATGGTGCATTTGTGAGAATATCAACTTGTGTTCTGAGCTAACAGGTGTGATTAATACGGGTAGAAAATACTTAAAATTTCTCCTAAGTTAGGAAGGGAGAATGTAGAGGCATCAACTGCGGTGCCTCCTCAAAAATCGAAGGATGTTTCCCCTGATGAGGTGGATATACCCCAAGAGACCATAAAGATAGATAGCTTGTGCATGTACACAAGGAGATCGAATACAGGTAGGAATCTAATACGTTCTTTTTCTCAGGGTAATCTAATATGTTCTCTTTCTCAGGGTAACGAGGAACATCTGATCATTGGAGATTGGGAGGGTAAAACGTAAGGGGACACAGGTAGGCGGGGGAGGCTTTTTGTAAGTTTTACTATCTGTGAGTAGGTGCATGGGAAGCTACTTGCACATGTCCTTGTTTTGAATATAAAGTTGAATTTGTAACAGACTTCTTTATGATCCTGCTTCATGTTTAATATTAGGATCCTATAGTAAGTTACTGCATTCATCTTAGAAAACGAAAAGGACAACAGATCATAAAATAACATACATATAACATTAATCCTCGGACTTTTCATGTTTTCATCATACCTAGGCTCCACATGTAGCAGCAGGCGAGAAAAGTAGGGGATAATTTTTCTTCCAGGGTAAAGATTAAGTGTGGAAGCCAATAAAAATATACAGATAATTCTTGTATAAATAAATGATATCAATGCTCGTAACTTAATATTTATAAAAGGGCCTAAGATAAAACAATGCATATGACAAACGAAACCTGCAAGTTTATGCTTGGAGACAAGCCTTATATGGTAATCTGAAGAATTGTTCTTCAACCAGCCGGATAAAGAATAAATTACTTCAAGTTCATTTCCATGCTTTTCCACAAACTCTTGAAGAAGCCTATACACAACAATCCAGCAACAAAAATTCAGCCCCAAAACAAAAAACAAAAAACACATAAAACCCTATTAGTTTGCATGCAATTTTTTTTTTTTTTACCTCTTAGCAGAATTTGATGACACCAAAAAATTTCGACTTAACCATTTGTAAGAAACCTATCAAAACAATTCATAAGATCACTAGAATTAAAATTTTAAATATATTCATCTCAAGATCTGCAACTATCAAATTAATTTGATCAGTTTAGAAGTGATTAAAAATAAGACTAAAAAATAGGATGCTATGAGAGAGTTACCACTTGAAGTTTATCGGAGACGAGGGCTTGAATCTCGTCAAGAATACCGAGGGTTTCGATTTCGGCCATATTCGTGTCAGCTAGAAACGGGTCGGATAAACCAAATTGAGCAGAGTGTGAAAGAAAATGATAGGTTTTCTTCGGGTTTCCCTCCAGAAAGTGAGTTAATTTCCCGCCTCAGCCCTTTGAGGACTCTTTTCGCTGTGCCAGTAGAGCGACGAAGAAAATAGAAGACATGTGGTCACGTGATCATCACGAGGGACTATTTCAATTGAACCCTTGGTTTTGCTAAAATGGTTTGGCTAAACCAAGCCCCATTTAAGAGAGATTTTGAGAATTGATTTTTTGATCGTTAGGAGAAAAATGGGATTCATCTGTGAAAGAAGAAGTAAAAAATTACGGTTAAAATAACGAAATAACGGTCAAAAAATCAATTTTTTTGGACAAAAAATTCCTCCCAAAAAGGCTGCAAATGAGTGAGAAAAACCATACTAGAATTTTCTCGACCCGGCTCAGCCTAATATTGATAGTTTTACATGCCTTCAGTATTGTCAGAAAAAACGTAGCATAAAATGACGCCTTTTAAATTGATCGGCTTGCGATAACTTTCTTGATTTGAGTTTATTTTTATATTTTAATTGAACTCACAACCTTTTTTTTTACTTTATTGTTACAATAGAAGAAAGGTATGTAATCGTTTTTATTAATTTAAAAAAAAAAAAAACTATAATTTAACTCAAATGAATAAAACCTTCCATAGAGGACTGAAATTGCAAACTTAAAATGCTGAGGACCAAATGCACAATTCTATTAGGGTTGATGAAAATAACTTCTATCCGTTTTAAGTTTATTACAGCTTCGGCTATTTGCATTTCATGGGAAATGGAAATTTACAATCGTGCCCTTATTTGGTGGGTATTAAAATTAAATATTTAATAAATTTTAATAAAAATTGATAAAATATAATGGTGAAAAAGTTATGAATTTCATTTAATATTAAATTAAACTTTGAATCTTCACTTAGATTTAAAATCTATATTTTATTTACTAAGCAAAAGCCCTATGCACGGTCACAAATTAAATGGGCAATGTATGGGTGTAAAATGGTTCGGTGGCTCGAGCGTCCCGCAGCTCGCTCGTGGCTCGAAAAAATCGAGCTGAGGCATGGGCCAAGCTAAAAAAATGAGACGTCGTCGAGCCACACGGGCCGGCTCAGGCTCGGGCCAAAAATGGCCCCTGACAATTCCGAGCCTAATTAAAGAAAAAAAAATTAAAAGTTTGAAAACCAAAAAAATAAAAAAAATTAAACTAAAAAAAATAAAAAATAGAGGCAGCAGGTATAGCTGCCAATACTTGCTGCCTTTGTCACATGCAGTTATAACTACCTTAATAGCTGCCCATTTCATGAGGCAGCCTGTAGAACCGTCCCCTCCCCTCGTAAATTCGAAATTCAAATTCGAAAAGCAAGGCGAATTTTGTTGTCTATAAATAGGGTCAAATTTTGAAGTTTCAAATTAATATATTATCGATTTTAATTCGCATTATTATTGTATTACAATCATTTAAGTTTCAATTTTTATTTCTTCGTTCTCACAATCTCACTTCTCATATAACATATTCAATTTATTTAATTCTAAAGTTTAATATTCAATATTTTTTACTTTATTAGTTATTAATGGATTTTACTAGTGATGAGATTAATCAATTTGGTAATAGCTCGAGTACTCCATCTGACTATGATGCATGTCAAAATGTTCCAATTGATTTGGAGCATATTATGAGGAAGAAGTATTTAAGACTAAAAGGTTGGAAAAAGAATCATTGGATTGTTGGCAACATACGACAAAAAAAAAATTATTTTAAAAATGGAGTAGATATTTGGAAAGCATATTGCAATTAGTGTGGCAAAGAATTTAGTTGGAAACCCGACTCGAGCACAACGCATTTGAATAGACACGTATTAAGGAGTTACAAAGCTAAACCAGTAGATCTCGACTCGAAACAAACCGAACTAGTGTTTGGCGATTCTGGTTCTACTCTTTCCATTTTTGTATATTCACAGGAAAGATATCGTGAAGGAATGATTGCATACGTGGTTGCAGCAGAGATACCACTTACGATGATAGACTCAATACACTTTACTCGACTCATGCAGAAATATCTCCAACCCAAGTATTATTCTTATTTTAGAAATACCCTTTGTTCGAATACTATAAAATTATATAATAAAAGAAAACAAACTACTAATGAAGATCTAAAAAGTTTTAATAGTGTTATATCATTTACCTCTGATTTATAAACCGGTGGTAATAGAAAATGTTATATTGCTGCTATGACTCATTATCTTGACACCTATGACTTTTACATAAAATGATTATTGCATTCAAATATGTAGATTTTCCCCATAATGCCACTAATATATTGATTTTAAAAAATATCATACAGGAATATAGTATATAAGATATTGTTCGAAATTTTACTTTTGATAACGCTGCAGTGAACAAAATTGTTGTTGAAAGATTTATTATTGATCTTAACCCCATATTTGAAAATTTATTTTTTCATCAACGTTGTGTATGTCATATTATCAGTTTGATTGTAAAAGTTGGATTAGAACATATAAGTTCACATTTAGATAAAATTAAACAAGTAATAAATTTTATTACTATGCCACCATCAAGAAAGCAAGCATTTAATAGTTTGTGTGCAGAATATGAATTACAGGAGAAATCATTTGCCACTGATGTAACACATAGATGGAACTCTACACATCTTATGTTACATTCGTGTGAAAATTACGATAAAGTGATTTCACTATATTATAATGGTATGCATACACTCGGACCCAAACATAATTCGAAAAATTGGGAATGGTCTATTGCATTTTACGTGAAAAAATTCTTACAACATTTTTTCGATGCTACAAAAGAATGTAGCGATATTTATTACCCTACATCTTCACTTTTTTTATAACATTTTTTTTACATTTCATAAGCATTTAACAAATACAGGAATTTACCACTTTTTCTGATATAGTTTGCTCTATGGAATTAAAATTTCGTAAATATTGGGAAGAGTTGCCCCTTTATTTCTTTTAACTTCAGTAATGGGCTCTCAACTTAATTTAACTGGTACAAAAGCCACTATAAAGGGGATATCAAATTATTTGAATGTATAATTATCACATGTGCTATAGAATCTCTTTTATGTGAAATGTATAATTATTACACTGAAAATGTAGATCAGGGTAGTTCTACTTCCCAAGATTCTTTTTCGAGAAATATTTCAACAAATTCAAATAATTTATGGAATTATTTGGAAAGCAATACAAACGTTCCTTCATTCAGTTTTAGTTCATCAATATCTAGAGCGATCAATGTCGGTGGTACAAATCTTGAAATTCTTTCTGAGTTAGCTAGTTATATGTGCGTGGATATTCGTAGTGTATTATAATCAAAAGAATTACAAGAATTTAGTTTTCTAAATTGGTGGAGGTGTAACGAAAGGCAATATCCAAGCGTATAAAAAATTGCACGTGATCTACTAACACCTCCTGTGTCTACCGTAGCATCGGAGGCTGCATTCAATTTAAGTGGTCGAATTTTATTAGATGAACGATCAAGATTAAAAGAAGATATATTGGAGACTTTAATATACTTGAAAGATTGGAAATATGCGAAATTACGTATTCAAGAACATGTTGACAATACAATGGCTGAATAATTGCAGTAGATCCAAACATAAGATGTTGTAAGTTTTTAGATTAATTACTTTTATTTAAAAAATGTAATTTTTAAATTCATTTGTTTCAAAAAAAATTGTACACGAAAATATTTTATTCGTATATAATTTTAACTCCGCTTACGTTGATTGTACTCGGTCCCAAGCCTAGAAAAAGGAGAAGGGATTGTAACTTGTAACTTTTATTTAATTTGTGATTCATATAAATTACGTAATTTTGTAAGTTGTAATTTTTACTTAATTTGTAATTCGTATAAATGATATAATTTTTAAATTCTTTAAATTTAAGTTAGAATTGTAACGCGGTTAAACATTTTAAAAATATTCAACTATAACTATTTTAATATATCGAGAGAGCTTGATTGAAATAGATTTTTGAGAATATAATTTACTTCTATTTGGTTTGGTTAAAAATTAAAATTTTAGTAATTTTTTATAAAAGTTAATAAAATCTGTGATTAGAAGTTGATCTCGTAAATATATGGTTAAAATGAATGTTAAAAAATTAGGACGAAACATGAACTTTATGAAAAGTGATTTTGTTTGAAAAATGTCATTAAAAATTAAATAAAAATTCTCAAGAAAAAACCCTAAAAAAATTTTGAGCCGACTTGTAAAGGCCCAAGCCGAGAGTATTTTCTGGCCGAGCTTTCGCTCGACTCGATTCGGGCTCGAAAAAAGCTCGCTATGTTTTACTCGAACCGAGCCTCGAGTTTCGGCTAAACTCGTTGACATCCCTAGGGCAATATAACTGAAACCTCAAAACCCTTAGAGTAGAGCCCCACAATAACTCGAATTAAGTATTTTACTAGTTACTGAACTTATATCTCAATCACGCTTTACTGACTAAATTATTAAATGCTTTTGAGTAATTAGTAAACTTTAACATGTTGCATTCTAGCACTCACTCGTCATATTTTATTAGTCAATAAACTTAAAAGTATTTTCGAATTGTCACTTAAATTTAATATATTGCACTCCATCACTCCTCACCATATTTCGTTAGTCATTAAACTTATAACTTTGTCACGTTTTGCTCACCAAGCTTCAACATACTTTCGAGTGATTACTGAACTTTACTCATTGAATTCAACTATTCAAAAATTGAAAATTTTGAACTATAAAATACTATACACGAAGACTACAGCCTTCTTTTCTCTTGGATTACATTATGACAACTCTAAAAATTATATTTTATTAGCTTTGATTAATATTATTGACTTTAAATCGAAAAAATTTACTTCTCTTTTGAGATGTAGTTTTTTTTTATTTTTTTGATTTAGCCCAAATCCAAAATTAACTACATGATTTTGTAAGAATTAAAATTGAACATGTCGTTGGTTAAATTAATATAATATTGTTGTAAATACTCAAAAAATTAATTATTGTACGGTAATCCAGAAACTAAATGGAACTAAACTGAACATAACCAAATCCAAACAGTTTAATAATTAAATTTGAACCCAACAATTCCACTTACTAAATATGCGAAATTCCGGATTCAATTCCATTCCTGACCATGTCCTACCCTAATTAAGGATGTATTCATGCATTGTGTCATTTTAAAAGGCTGACACAAAATAGAGGTAATCGGATGAATATTCATTATAAATGATTGCAACAACTCTTCTACACTACCAGAAGGATGAATCACAAAATTAATACAGACAAGGGTGGGAGATTTTTTGGCATTTTTTTATCAAAGCATGGACC